AATTTGTATTGTTTTTAATGACTGATTGTTGATGTTTAAGCTTGTATAAATTATCATAAACATAGGAACAATCACACAGTTGCACTTTATGCGCTCTCATACATGTTGTTGTGTATTTACTTGCATGTCTTCTTTTATTTATGGTATATTTTTCTTGTTTGGATGGAAGCTTCACAAAAGTTCTTCAAAAGAGCTTTCTGTCTCTCTCTGCAAATACCTTTTTTGTACTTATTTATCCAAACTAAGCATCTTCAATAATTCATTCCTTCATTCAGAGTTTTCTTGTCAGTGGAGGGAAATCTACTAAATATTGTCTTACAGCAGAGGAAGCTGAGATGTTCCCATGTTCGTGAAAAACATGGCGTCCAGATCAGAAGCAGCAGCACCCGTCAGTAGTCAATACATGAAAGTGAAATTTACATCAGAGGGGATGCATTAAAAAGAAAAGCATGTGAAGAGGGTGAGGGGTTCTTGGTGTTGTACAGAATGTGGTTTCTGTTTGAGTCGATGAAAGTATCATTTGTTGCATGTGTGAGTCAATATGTCAGCTCTGGTCTCCTTGACAACTGAGAGGACATCTGTCATCTCCATATGGAGACACAGAGACAAAATCTCAAAGGCAACAGACAGTAAAACAAAGATGGAAAGTAATCAACTTGAATCAGTTTACTAATTATCTTTTTAGTAAACTGTGTAACACGCAAACACTTTATTTTAAAGGACTGAAGTTGGAATGGTTAGTTTTGCTTCAAATTAAAACAAATAAATCATGCCTTATAGCAGTTTGGTATGCAGAGGTTTAGACGAGACCAAAACAGCACAGAAGATAAATACAAACCACAACACAAAGCAGTTAGCTAATTACCGTATTTTTTTTGCTGTATAAGTCAGTTTTTTGCATAATTTACATGCCCTGCTACTTATAGGCCAAAGCAACGTATTTATGGATTTTTTTCCCCCTCATTTTTATAAACCAATTTTTGGCTGAGATGACCATTTTCATTAATTCTGACTGAAAAACAATTTGAGCAGTACCATTTTCATCCACTACATGGCAGCAGAGTAGTAGTAGCAGTAAGGCATGCCATTGTATCATGTAATAGGTAAAAGTGGCTATAATGACAAATTCAAAAAAGTTCAAGACAAAAACTAGGCTTTATTTATTATACTTTATTGTTTTTGTCTTGAACTTTTTTAATTTTATTTACCATGTTGATTGAGAATCTTCACCAGCTATTAATGACACACTCAGCTTGCCACAGTCTGCCACCTTCGTTCTACTCGCTGCTTGGAACAACCGTCAAACCAGCTGCACCGCCCCAGCGAAATGCAGCTAATTTGACTATTAAAGTACATTTATTAAGTAAATGTTAGACTGAGACACACCTTTACTATAACTTCAAGCAAACAAATAATTGTTTTATGTGCTTTTCTTGTTAAATTTCAAAGAAACGAGCAGCGTTCCTCTTATATATTTTTTTCCCTCCCTCTGCGTGCTCCCGGAGTACCGAGTCAGCAAAGACTTTTGAAATACAGCTGATTTGACCGTTAGTCTTTTTTATTAAACGTTAGACTGAGACACACCTTTACTATAAAGTCGAACAAACAAATAATTGTTTTTAGGTGCTTATCTTGTCAAATTTCAAAGAAATGAACGATTCGTCCCTCTGCGAGTGCTCGCTTACGCGAATCGGGTTTTGAAATGCAGCTGATTTGACCATCAAAGTTAATTTATTAAGTAAAAGGTAGACTGAGACACGCAGTTAATATAATTTAGAGCAAACAAATAATTGTGTTTAAGTGTTAATCTTGTTAAATTCTTGTTAAAGTCCTCCCGCGGCCGCCATTTGGCAGCCCATCAATTTTTGGCACAACACCGGTTGATTTGATTGGTTGTGCTGCACTGAGTATTGTTTTTAATGATGATTTTCAAACTAACTGGTTGCGTCAGCCTGAATTAATCTCACTAAGAAACAATATACTGCATCTAATTACAAATAAAATTCAACTGAACAGCAAAATTACTTTTTGTCTCATCTGGTATTTAATACAAATTTAATTTCCTCTCAGTTTTAGAACTGCAAGTTGACAGAATCCAAACAGTTCCAGCATATGACACATAACCAAACACCAACAATATATCCATGCTTCATATGTTCATGAAACCAGGACCTTTATTTTTTCTGTGTGCTCAAAAACAGAAACTTTTGCAGGATTTCAGTTTGATTTTCTGCTCTGAGCTGCGAGGACACACAAAGTCAGCAAGCCTCTCACTCAAACTGTGGAGGAGGGGACACTAAAAACTCATTACATGGACGATCAATATAGCACACACTTGAGAGCCAAGTGTGTGCTTGGTTCCCTCTACATCCACAAAACACACACACACACAAACACATATGTGCATTCCATCAACCTCTGGCAACGGTGACAGATGACTTTTGTCAGCCTGAAATGTGTTACCGTGGTAACCATTAGGTTACATTTGAGTATGGTGCTACAGGGGACATACAGGCGCACACACACACACCAGTGGACACTTAGACAACCTGGTGAAGGTCATAATAAAATAAAACAGCTCAATATTTCTGCACATTCCAGCACTCTGAACTGAGCTGCGGCTCTTTCAAACATAAAATCACTTTTAAATTGGATCAGTAGCCTAATTGATATTTGAGAATGTTGGTAATACATATGCAACTTCATTTTAGGATTTCAGCATATTAAGTGTCAAAGTAACTTTTAGGATTTCAGCATATTAAGTGTCAAAGTAACATGTTAAAAACAATGTATTCCTACATAATCCTTGGTTATGTGTTATTAGACATATTAGCCCATTATTTTGTTATATATTATTGTGCGCATTAGGTTTAATACCACAAATTTAATTGTGTAGTTTATACTTTTTGCAGGTGTTTTCTTTCTCAAACTACAATAAACTTTATACCAGCATACACACAGTGTTTCTGTTGTAGACCACAATGCACAAGGGAAAAGGCTGACAGTAAAAAAATACCTTTTAACTTTCTGCTTCTTCAACAGGAAACAGGAAAATAATGTTAAAAAACAGATTCTTAAATGTCAGCAACTCGTCTTTTCAGACACTGCAGCTTGAAAGCAGGAGGGTTGTTTTTTTTTTTTTTTTACCTTTTTGCTAAAAGGATTAAAAAAAAGTGTATATTTTTGTAATTTTAACCAAGCTTTCCTTCTTTTTAGTTTAGTCATAGTTACAAACACAAAAAAAAGTTGAACCCTCCACAATCAAAGCCATGTCTCTGCATGGTCAACAAAACATACAGGATATGTAAATACCCAACAGTATTTTTCATCGTTCCTTTTTAAGGCTTTAATTTCTGCAAAGCTGAAGCCTGATTTTTATCATCTGCTTCTCTGTCAGAGCCACAGATTTTCAGTTTAGTGTGCACCGGAGGAGTAGGAGGAGAAAATGCCTCCCAGTATGCACCTCATGACTCCATGAGGGGAGTTTGATGTAGGTTTAAAGGTTTCTTTATCTTTTTATCATATGGTGCAATGTTTGCTTCCAAAATTTCAATATTATTTTATTTGTCCCCCTGCTAGTGAAATGTTCCTGCGCCTTCAATGCAATCATGATCCACCCCATCATTAACTATAATCAATAAATTAAATTCTGAGTACCACTTTACAATAAGGCTCCCCTTATAGATGGCTAACAAATACTTTATAGATAAGTTAAGAAAGTCCGTGCTCAATAATCCAGGTGTACAATCCAACAATTTTCAGTCAGGTCATCTCGACAGTTTCTTTTTTTTTTTTGGTGCTGAAACGTTTCACCTTCCATCCAGAAGGCTTCATCGGTCAAGGAAACACACAATACAAAACTGATTCTTCCACCAACAGCTTACTCCGAAGTGGAACAAACCAGTTATGTTGGTGCTAAGATGGTGCCTTTGGCACGCCCCCTCCTTTGGTGTCATCCCTCTTCCTCATCGACAGTCATGTCAAACTGGTTCAAAACCAAGAAAGGAAAGTGAAACGTTTCAGCACAAAAAAAAAAAAAAACTGTCCAGATGATCTGATGGAAAATTCTTTGTTTGTAGATAAGTTAATTCCTCTATAAACACTTTATAAATATTAATAATTGTTTATTATGCACTACTTAAGGGTGACAGAGAGACGAAACCGACCAGTTTCTTACCAAATAGTGAAATCTGTTCACCTATATATTTAATCTAGAGTTGTTATATTAAACATTTCAGACTAAGTTACTACCTGTAAGCACAATAAGATTGTACTTTGTCACTGCATTATACAGTAATTACCTACAACTAATATCATATCCTAAAACAAATAGGTTTACAAGGTAGTAAGTTAGTCTGAAATATTTAATATAACAATTCTAGATGAAATATATAGGTGAACAGATTTGGATCAGTATTTGTCAAGAAATTGGTCAGTTTTGTTGCTCTGTCACCCTTAATACATAATAAACAATTATTAATGATTTATAAAGTGTTTATAGATACGTTATTCATTCCTCTATAAACTATTTATTAGCCATCTATAAGGGGAGACTTATTATAGCCAGAATTGCACCACTCGGGGTGGCTGCATATTGGAGTAGCTCTGTTGCATTCATTCTGAGATTTTGCTTTTGGAAACTTCAATTCCTCTTTTTCTGGACTTAAATCATGTTTGTTTGGATGATTGTTTCCTCTGGTATCGGATGCTGTGCAGCTGGAAGGATTTTTTACTGAAACTTTTTTAGTTTGGGACATTTGTTGTGATGTGTAACCATGACAACAAGATGTTTTTTACAACTGGGAACATCTGATTAACATGTCAAAAGCTCAAATAATGCCTCAACTACAGCCCCAAATCTCAAATGAGTTGAAAAGGAGGCGCCAAAGATACATCCCCATCTCCTTGCCAGGTGTGCTTGAGTGCCTGACCACTGAGATCCTGGAACTAGCAGGAAACGTGGTTTGTGACAGCAGAAGGACAGGATTGTTTCCTGGTACCTCCAGCCAGCTGTTCGCAGCGATCAAAGAGCTCGGCAGACTGCTGGGAGGAGTGGCCATTGCTCTGGGAGGAGTTCTGCCCGGCATTTGGGTGGTCCTGCTGCCGAGGAACCGAGAGGTCAGCCAAGTCTGGGTGGACCGATCAGACTGCATCTGCGGCCAATTTCTTTGGATCCGCTGTGGGACGGACCTTTACAAGAGATCTTTCCTGCCTACAGCCATCAGCATCTATAACATCTCTTAATGAAACGAGGATAACGAGTTACAACATTTAATTTCCCTTTGGGATTAATAAAATATTTTTGAATTGAATTGTAAAGTGGTACCAAATTCTGCCTTTTTCCTTTTTATTTACCAACCCCTAAACGCTTTAATTTAACTTTACCTTCTTAAGTATATTTAACTAAACAGAAATATTGTTGAGTTAATGCGTTTTCAGTTTCTGAGTCAAATAAAGGGTTTCAGATGTATTTGTACATTACAGTAAAACAATGAAAAAACAAAAAGTAAGGTTACCTTTCCAAGCCCAGGTGTATCTTTGATTTTATTGGCTGCACGAAGAAGGCAAGGTGGAGCAGGTGGAGGTGCCTTCAGCAAGGCAGAGCTGAAATTTGTCGGGAACAGAGGAGGGTCACACGACAGAGGAGAGGATGTCACCGGAGCTGTGACTGCTGCAGTTTTCTGTTTCTTCTTCTTGGATGCCAAGTTCAACTTCTGAGCCGCTCTGAAAGACAGAAGCAGATAGGAGAAGGTTAGAGAAGAAGAGAAGTCTTAAATATTCAAGACACTTTGTGACTATAATTATAATAAAAGTATATTTCCCCTATATTTACAAAATGAAGCGTCTGGGAAAATTTAGGGTTTATCAATATCTTGCTTCATTATAAAGAAGAAAAGAAAATGTGAGAATATGCACTGCTATACACACACACAAAATGTATATTTGCATTCAGCACAAACACATTCCAGGTCACATATATAGTGTCTTGTTTTTAGAGAGAGGTACATTTTATTTTAGTATTCCCAGCAGGAGCTCAGGTGATAAAAAAAAGCAGCCATGTCTCAAAATTAAAAAAAAAATAAAATAAAAGGAAAACCAAAAGATCTTTAGAAATAGTTCAGAAAATGTTTTCAATAGAAATTGATCTTGAAAGCGAGTCTGGCTTGTAAAAGGCAAAAATATAAAGAAATAAGTGATGGCTCAAGATATTTTAGCCATTTAACTTTTGGCTGCTTCCTTCAACACAACGCTACTTTGAACCATTATAGCCTTTTCTAATAATAGCTTTAGTTTCTTCTTTTAGCAGAAATAGTGCACATTTATTTAACAGACTGAATTGCAGCTTTCTTCTCCATTATTATAATTTAGAATAAAAAGACAACAGACAATGTCAAGCTCAAAATTTCTCTTATCATTCTGTCATTATCGTGCTCGTATGTAAGTGGTGTAATGCTTTTGGTTTTGGCTTGAAATCAAACCCTTGTGTTGCAGTTCAGAGGTAAATAAACACACATTTTGATCTGCCAACAGCGCCTGTGTGTGATGATATTACTGTAAATTAAATCATATCACAGTCTGCCTCGGTAATATAACCACAGCCGAGCGCAAAGACAGAAATGAGTTTAAGTGAAAGATATTTCAGGGAAGGAAGTGGATCTGCAATCAAATTACACATGATTTATTTTATTCTCAACAATTCAAGAAGCTGCAGCTGAAACCGCTGTAACACATTATCAATTTAATCCAATAAAAGCCTCTGAAACAGCAGGACATGACTTCCTGTCCAGTTTGATTCTCACAGATACTCCAAAGATTTTAACAGGAGAGAAGAAATGAGTGAGACCTTGTGTCCTGACACGTTCTCCATCCAGAAGCCATATTTTCACACCATTGGCTTTCAATTAACTGCGGCAAGGAACAGAAATGAGTCTGAGGAGGAGAAACGCTGAAAGAGGGAGAAGAAGAGAGATGTGGATCAAGTGACCCGTAGAACGATGAAGCGTTTCACCGTTTGACCGACTCTCCCAGGAGATTTGTGTGTGAATCTGTGTGTGTGTGTGCGTGTGTGTGCATGTGCATGTGCGTGTGCGTGTGCGTGTGCGTGCGTGTGTGTGTGTGTGTGTGTGTCAGCCCGCTGCATGAAACAAACCTCCATGAGAAGACCACTAATTGGTTTTTCACTGTGTGCTGGCTAAGCTTACATCTGAGAAATGTGATCAGAGGCAATTACAGGTTTTCTTATTATATTGGTATAACATTCAATTTGCTTTTATTCATCACAAGGAAAAAGTAATTATAAACGGTTTGCTAGGTGTAAGAATATACTTTAACTATTAATGACTTTGACTAAATTTGTTAAGATACCACAAGACCATTTTGTTTAACCATGTTAGTAAAAACTACAATCCTAAAAGTGTTATATTGTATTTTTATTTCCACCGAATGAAGAGGTTGTGATTGCTGCAGTGCTGCGGATGGTTGCAGGAAGTGTTGTGACAGTGATAGATTCCTGCGGTTTCTCTGTTGTTGGGGATTCCTGCTACTTTTCCCCCTCCATCACCACAATAATGCAAACTATGATTGCTCTCAGCTGTGCATTATTATGTTTTATGTGCATGTAGACCTGTTGTTGAATGTTACTTGAATTAATCGCCACATTGCATTCATAATGTTTATGCTTGTTTTATTAGCGTTTGCTCTCTTATTCTTTTATTGCCCCTCTGAACAGTTCAGTCTATGGCACAACTTGACAGTGGCACCAGCCAACACCAGCAAACTGGTGACATTTGATGATGAATGACCTGAGACTTGGCTCTAGTCTAATATAACTGTAAAGTTAATTGAATTTGCTTTGTATTAGTTGTGTCATTCTACCTATTCATTAATTTTTCTCCATTACCTTTTCTTCTCAACTTCGTCGCATCCACATTAACTTAATTTTGAACGTCCTGCAACACTTTTTTTTGTTGACCTCCATATCCTACAGCTTGTGCTCTCAGGACATTATTACCTGCAGTGTTCCCTCAGTGCGGACCGAAGTAGGCAAAAGGGCCTTCTCCTACTCCGCTCTTGTTTCCTCGATAATCTTGCAAAAAGATCTGAACCTCTCGACCCTGACCTCTCTAAGTGGCTTCAAACATCCAAGTTCCTGAGAAAAACCAATGCAGACATGTTCCTGTTTTTAGTTTTCTACATCGCCTTACATCCTAGCTGTTTTTTTTTTGTTACATTGTTTTAATACTGTTTTATTTTTACTTGTTCGCAATTTGTATGCATCCTTCATTCATTCATTCACTCATTAAACCTTTATTTAGACGGATAAATCCCATTGAGCCTTGAGGACTCATTTTCAAGAGAGACCTGATTTCAGCAAAGAATGATGACAACAGCGACACCAATAGACAGTTATAAAAGGCATACAGATTTTTATTTTTTTATTTTTTTACAAATAAGATGGCAAAAAGAGTAACAAAACGGCTAGATTATAAGGTGAATGTAGAAAACTAAAAACAAGAACATGTCTGCATTGGTCCTTGCCAGGAGTCCAACAGATTCTTAAAGTCACTTACAGAGGTCAAGGTCGAGAGCTTCAAATATTTTTGTAAGATATTCCAGGAAATGGGAGCGGAGTAGGAGAAGGTCATTTTGCCAAGTTCAGTCTGCACTGAGGGAACACTGCAGGTAATAATGTCCTGAGAGCACTCGCTGTAGCTGCACTCACGCAGAGACATGTAGGAGGAGATGTATGAAGGCAGCAGACCAAGAAGTGATTTAAAAATGAAAATGTACCAGTGGAAAAGTCTGCGTGAAGTTAATGATGACCAGTTAACCAGTGAATACAGGGTGTAGTGGTGGGTACGATAATCACAGCCAGTTATGAATCTTAGTGCACCATGATAGACAGCATCCAACATCTGCAGGGTGCTTGTAGGAGCGTTCATGTAAATAATGTCACCGTAATCAATGGAGGGAAGGAAAGTCACAGTTACAAGGCGTTTTCTAGCATTCAGAGTTAAACTTTATGATTGTCCACTGTCGTCATCACTCTTTGTTAAAATCAGGTCTCTCTTGTAAATGAGTCCCTGAAGATCAGTGGGATTAACCTGTATTAATAAAGGTAGAATATGTCGACTCATCCACAAACCTCTGCCTTCGTTGAATGTACTGATTCCTTCCACTGCTGACTCCTCTCCCTTCAACTACTTGAGAGGAGAGGAGGGAGTGTCTCTTGTCAGAAATGTCGCAGGTCATCAGTAGTGAAGGTGGTAACAAGACGCTGTATTGCCATTTTTCACCTTTCACACAAACACCTTCTCTTGAATCTACACATGCTGCTGATTTAGAGCTGGAGTCCTGGAGCTGTGTCTTTGGTTTGCTGGTTAATTATGTTCTTTTTAGCAGGCCATCAGTGAAGGGAGGCAGGATAAGAGACAGAGAGTGATGGTGTAAGACTTAAAGTGTGTTTGTGTGTTGTTAGGTCAGTAAGACCGACTGTGAAGACATTATTTGTTGGCGTGTACATGTACATCAATTCTGGAGTCAGAATAAAATAATTTCTTTCTTTTAAAGTCTTTTTTTTTTTTAGTTTATTATACATTACTCTGTTGTGCTGCAAACAACTGAGCTCGCCATATTTTTTATTTGCCAGTTGGTTAAAGGCAGAGACACTAATATATTAAACGCAAGATGGAAATCTGAAATATTTTACCCTGCCAGTTCTCATTTGGACCAAATAAACACTGGTATATAAAAAAAAAACAAGATGCTCTGCAGGTCGAGCACTGTTTTTTCAGCACAATTTGAAATATAACACTTTTTATTTACCGTTATTTATACAAGTTAACAAAAAAAACAAAAGCAAAAATAGAAAATGTCATCAGGATGTGATCAGAAAATTGAGTTTTTGACCACAAATTGTCAATCCACCATTATGACTGGTTGCAAATTGGTGCTCATTTTCCACCATATAAAAATATGTTTTGTTGAGCATCAATGAAAAGCAGAACGAGGTACACTGGTTGAAAAAGAGACGGCAGCCCCCACTCTGTGACATGCTCCATCGAAAATAACGCCCTCCCGGTTCACCAATTTACTTGGAACCTATTCATTTACTCTGCCACCTCCTGCAGCACACACACTTCTTTGCACACACGCATACAGCTACCAAATCTCCAAAGATTCAATCCTTGGAGCATGCAGTTAAAAAATTCCTGCACTGATAGAAACTCCCTCCACCCATTGTGTGAAAGCATGCACAGGCACCGAGTCTCTATTCCAGCATCCCCAGAGGGCCACTGCAGCAGGGGGAAGATGTAGAGCTCCTGTGCAAGTGTGACATATTCACAGACAGATTGGTACTAATGAAAGATATTGCTCAGATGTGCATTAGTGGAGGTAAAGGAAAGGTCAGTGTGGAAATGGAGACGTGAGGGGAAAGAGAGGAGTAGAGAGAACAATAGAAACAGAAAGAAAAAGGAAAAAAGGATGAGATCAAATGTGAGTTAATTAAAACGGGACAGAAACAAGACGGGGAGGTATGAAGACGAACTAATGGTAGACAGGGATCAGGTGAGAGGACCTGTGGTGGACTCAGGGATTGTCGTGTGCAGAAAGCGAACAAAAGGGACATTGTGTTTGTGAAATAAACCATTGTATGCAGTTCATGTCTGACAGTAAAGACCAAGACCCACTCGGGATTTAACAAGCCTGCATGGCTGCATCTGCTGGCCATAAACTCGCACAAACACACTAACACATGGAGTATATGTTAGTTATGTGCAATATATTTCTTGTGCATTTCACCTTATATTACTACTGGGGTGCACTGATAAATCTGCCCCAATTTCCTTAATTTTGAGAGATCGGCCGATACTTACATGTGAAACTGATTTTACCGATTTTTATTTTTTATTTTTTTGTAGTTTTAACAGCAATCGTCTAAACTTCATTTATATTTCAGAGCACAACCTCACGGCCACAAGTTTGTACAAGTTAGTATTGTTTTTAGGATATTGTTCAAGGGTATGTTTTTCAATAAAATAAGATTGTAAAATTGAAGATGCATTGTGACCTTATAACACTCGACAGTGTCGCTAATAAACAAACTCGGTTTCGGACAAAATCGGAATCAGCAATTCAGACTATTTAGAGATCTGTGATCGTCCAGAAAACTGCAATCGGTGCACCCCCAATTACTACCTGTGAAATAATTATTTACACAAATTCATCCTATTTGCACTGTTATATTCTACCATGTTGTTTACTATTTTTCTTTTGGACCTTGTACATATTATATTTCTTTTTTGCTTTTTGGTACTTTACTTTGTACCCTTATTGCATGCTTTAGTATTTCTTTTTTGTTGTTGTTGAAGCGAGTCGAATCGGTTCTTCTCATCCTGAACATTTCATTGCATTGTGTTAACCTGCATATGACAAATAAACAACATAACATGTTAACCAAGAAACAAAAGGGCTTGGGTATTTTTCTAATTAAACTTTGTTTTGAAAAAATTAATCAAGAAGAAAAAAAATCTGTCCAGATGAGCTGATTTAACATTTTTTTTGTGAAAAATAAAATGAGTTTTTAACAACACTCTGATATAGTTTCCAACATAAAAATAAACAGCATTTTTGCAATTCAGTAAATTCAGCCTAACAACTTTGCTAATAGCCTCCATTATGTTTAAGAACAAGCAGCGCAGCATTATTCAGTATTATTCAGTATTATTCAGTATTATTCAGTATTATTCAGGTTCAGTGAGATTGGAAAGTTATTGAGATTCTCACCCACAGGATCTTTATTTTTTTTAAACAAACTTTTATAAAACTACAAACTGACCCTCCTGTTATACAGAAAAGTAGATGTTACAACCTAATATTCATCCAAAATATTACATCTTATCTGGACAAAAACAGTAGGGTCTATGTCTATCAACAGCTGTTATAGGACTTTTAAGTGCAAAAAAAAAAAGATGAATATCCCAAATTGTACAAATATTTTATAGCCTCCAGTTGAATTTATATTAACAATAAACATCAAAGACTGATACAATTTTAGCAAGACTTTAGACAATAATAAACATGTTAATCACTAATCACTCAATTATATTACAATTTGCAGATGACATCCTGGGCTTCATCACCAACAACGACGAGAGTGCCTACAGAGACGTGGTGAAATCACTGACCAGCTGGTGTCAGGAAAATAACCTCTCTCTAAATGTCAGCAAAACAAAGGAGATGATAGTGGACTTCAGGAAACAACGTGGAGGCCAGCACTCCACCATCTACATAAACAACGCTGAGGTGGAGCAAGTCAGCAGCTTCAAGTTCCTCGGTGTTCACATTACTGAGGATTTGTCCTGGACTTTACATACAGACACTGTGGTCAAGAAAGCCAGACAAAGGCTTTACTTCCTAAGAAGACTAAAGAAATTTGGTACAAACACCAGCATCCTCATCAACTTTTATAGGTGCACCGTTGAGAGCCTGCCGACAGGCTGCTTCAGAGTGGTATGGGAACTGCACCAGTCAGAGCTGGAAAGCTCTACAGAGGGTGGTGCAAACAGCAGAGGACATCACTGATGGCAGTCTCCACACCATCCAGGACATCTACCACAGCCGATGTCTGCGTAAAGCACGCAGCATCATTAAAGATCACACCCACCCAGCACAAGGACTCTTCTGTCTACTACCCTCAGGCAGACGATACATGAGTCTGCCATCGCGTAAAAAAAGACTAAAGGACAGCTATTACTCACAAGCTGTCAGATTACTGAACTCTTGATAAACACTGAACAACTGGCAATAACTAACTAATAAGTCAACCTCAATGTCACTACCTGTGCAATAACCTATGTGGTATATGTTGATTATGTGCAGTATATATATATGTGTGTGTGTGTGTGTGTGTGTGTGTGTTTGTGTGTGTGTGTGTGTGTGTGTGTGTTTGTCTGTATATATATGTATAAATCATGTGCATTTTAGCTTATATTACTACCTCGAAATACTTAATCATATTCATCCCACTACACCGTTATATTCTACCGTGTTGTTGCTCAGTATCTCTCTTTAGGACATTGTAAATATTTTAAATGATTACTTTTTCATTTTTTGGTACATTTTTTTGTGTATCCTTATTGCATGCTTTTTTGTTTATTCTTGTTGGTTTGTTCTTTGATTTTTTTTTTTTTTTAGCGAGTCAAATCGGTTCTTCTCATCCTAAGCATTTCATTGTACTGTTAACCCTGTGTTAACCTGCATATGACAAATAAACACAACTTGAACTTGAACTTGGTGTTGTGTCAACTTTTGTTTCTGCGTTCAGAACGACCCAATCTGTTGTGCACTGAAAACACAGCACCTGGTGCACATAGACCCCAATTTTGTTGCTAAATAATCTTTATTGCTACGAATGGATTTTCCCAAATGTCATTATTATCAGAAAAGAAGTTGGATGCGATTTATGACACTTCCTATACAGAATCATGCGAGTGCGTGCATGCGTGCGCGTGTGTGCGTGTCATAAAACCTCAGTCTGGATGTGTCTGTGCGTGCTTTCATGCAATTTACGAGTTGTATGTGAGTATTCTGAGACAGACAGCATTATGTCTGCCACACTGCAGCGTAACAGTTATAGATCACACACACACACACACACACACTTGATTATCTGCAGATGAACAGAAGGGAAAAGGTGTGAAAGTGAGAAAGAAAACCATCAGTATCGTTTAAAATGTGATTTAAAGCAGCTCATTAAACTTGACATCCCAGCAATCCTTCAGACACGGTGACACGTTCATCCTCTGGTGTAACCCATGAATAATTCACTCTTTCATTTTGAGTTTGCCATGTCTTTTCATCAATAATGCACCCATATTATCCTTGTCTTATTTATGCCGTGCTGCTCTGCATTCCTCTAGATTGGACTACACCGACAACTAATGACTGGAGAGCTGATTTATACACAAGTGCACCAAGAGATAAGTAGACTTTAATTTCCTCACCCACTTCATCTATAAATGTGATTGTCAGTCCATTGTTGTATTCCTTCTTCTACTTTCTTGAACTAACTGGAGAAATAAACATGAGACCATATAAACGAGTTAAAGTCTGGGTCTTCAGATTCATTCTGAAAGAGTGTAACCCCATGATCAGTATAAATGTAAATTAAATTGTAGTTTTCTATTTAATCATAGTCCTAACAAAGTACTTCCAAGTGCTCTAAATGCAGTAATTATGGGATTGCGTGGAGTTTAGCACTAGTGTCATTTCAACCCACTGACAGAGTTTACAGAGGGCTTATAAGCCAAATTTATCCACTTATTAAATCTGATCAAGTTAAACTAATTATTAAAATAAAAATAGATCAGGTGAAGAAAACACCAAGTCAAAACCACATGACCCACACTGACATCCATCACCTGTGTAGAGTGACTTCAGAGGTGTCTTGGAGTGAAAGCATCTTACCTGGCAAAGAAGGAGGCGGCAGCAGAGGTTGTGGTTGGTGCTGTGCTGGTGACAGCTGGGGTGTTACAGGGAGAACTGGTGTGTGATGGTGAATTAGTGTGTGCAGGAGTGTGTGTGTTGCAGCGGTTCAGGGCAGCTTCAGTCCCTCCTTCTCTTGAGGCTTCAGAGATCATCTGGGAGATCTAAGGAAAAAAGGAGAGACGATTTACAACAATGGGAGAATAAACACAAAACTGAACAGTAACTCATTCTCCACAGATTAAACACTCTGGATGCGACTAAGTTTAATTTATTTCACAGACGTTAAATAGTACAAACAATTGCTTTTTCCATAATAATATTTTAAACATTTTCTTTGTGTTTTTAGTGGATAGATTCTGTAAAGTACAACAACCCACGAAAGGCTCATCAACAAAGAGCAAGGAAAAAAACAGGACAGAGAACATCAGCACACAGAGAAAACAAACTTGGAATAGACGACAAAATAACTTTACATCTTTTCACCCCTTCAAGTCCTGCACCGTGCACATTTCAGATGTAGAACTAATCTATCAGCTTTCATGTAAAAGTGGTTTAATGTGAGATGAAAAGCACCTCATTTAACACAAAAGCGCTGAAAATGCATTTATTTCCCATAAACGTATAAAGGTGAAGATGAGCATGTTAGCTTTGTTTGCTCAATAGTGTAACTTATTGGATGATACTGTCAAAATGTCTAAAACGTCATGATAAATGTTTGAAGATGTCTCAACAAGAAACAAACACAACAGAGTAGATAACTTCTCTTACTTAATGAATCTCTGCAGATGTAAAAACAGCAGAAAATAAAGTAACATTTTTAAATGAGTGATAAAGTACACGGGCTGACAAAGCAACATGAACATACAATGTATAACACCCAGTAAGAGGATGAAAAATTATAAACCTTATTACAGAAGGTGTGAACGTGAGCATTACTAGAATGTATACATTAGGGTTAGGCCTGTCGCAATAAACAATAACTCAATTAATCACATGATAAATTAAAATTATCAACCTCATTTTCATTTATCGGCTTGATTGTTTCTTCGTCTCTCTCTTTCTACTGGAGACACTGGATGACAAAAGGCTCAACTCTGGTGCTCTTCACTGACCCCTCCCTTAATTTTTTCCTCTTTAAAATCCATTTTAACCGTCCAAAATCATGTTTTTGGGTCGTTAAAAGCAGCTAAGCTGAGAAGCTAAGCTACGAGCTAAGTTAAAAGCCGACCTTTGGAAAAAAACCTCCGTCTTGTTGAAGCTCCAAAATTCACGGTTGAAACCCGTGCCTTTGTGCAAAAAGTGTTTTTTCTCTGCAAAAAGAAGCTGAGAACTTGTTTACTGATTTTTTTTTTATTAAAAGCTTTGTGTGAAAAATGCTACGCTAAAGAACTCAAACCACACCAAGCGTCTTCCATTTTGAGAACCGAATAAAGGAAGGAGAGACGGCCCATGTCACGTCAAGGGGCCTCCCTCCTATTTTTCTTAGAGGGTTGCTCCCTCACGATCCATCCTTCGGTTCAAACTGTCTTGTACTGCCATCCAGTAGTCAAAAAAGGTACTACATGCAAAACAAATTAACAAACGTCCATCCATCCATTATCTTTTAACCACTTCTTCCATAGTGGGTCACGAGG